CCCCAAAACCCCAAAACCCCAAGATGCTTATTTGCTAATAGGTATCATCAAAAATAGTAAAAGGAATAAAATAATATATAGGGTAAAATTTGATTTTAAAAGATAAAAATTATATTTAGCATTAATACATATAATAAATATACTTAGAAGCAAATGAAGCGCTTCCTTGAAGAAGTAGATGACAGCAGTAAGCTGTTTTCAAACCTGTACACAGATAGCAACGTACTTGGCAAAATGTTCTTTTCATTTGCGAAACCGCTCCTAAACCAAATACTCAGAAATGAAAGGTTCGATGACAACCAATTATTGGCCATAAGCGGAGAATACTCTGTGAAAAACTCTGAGACTGAGTAATTCATTTAGATCTACACCGAGAATCGTGAGGTTAAACTCAGAGACCCACTAAATTCACTATTGTTCACAGTCTTCAAGCTCTACCGTAAAAACGTGCTTCTCTGCCTTTTTACATCAATGGTTGCTGAGATGCTCGCAATTTACTGCTGCTATATCTCTGGTTACTTAATCGAATTTATGCAGACGATCGGTGCTCCTACACAATATGAGATATCTATGCTGATAGTGTTTACCTTGATCTTTTTGGGTTAAATCTTCCTGAGAAACCTTCATTACTTTTTCAATACTATGCTCTCACTCAAGATGAAGAAGCTCTTCCTTTCAATTATGTACAACAAACTATCTCATCTTTCTTTGGATTCAATGGGAGAGATAAGTGACGGAAAGCTCATTGCCCTACTCTAATCATACATCTTTATCTTGGAAAAGATAATGGTTCTTACATTCTACTGTTTCGTGGCTCCATTTGGATTAATTGTGTCCTGCGCTTTTATTGCCATCAAAGGAGGATTGATCTATGCACTTGTGGTGCAATTCCTTTACATTGTGCTCTTCTGGATCTAATACCTGATAAATCTAATAATAGGCAAAGTTATCAGCAAAGAGAGCGTCTAAAATGACTACAGAATTGGACTCATCTATCAAATGCTTTGTGGACTCAGAACAATCAAATGCTTCGCTATGGAGAATTTCTTCTTAGAGAGGATCCTAAACTTAAGAAAAACTTAAGTTCGCTATCAGAGAGTTCAAACTGCTCTATCATCTATTGGATGGGCCCTCTTAAACAACTCAGGATATTTTATAAGTTTGGCTGTGCTATTAATAGGTTGGAGAGCAAACTACTACCTAAATATATCTTTTAGCTTCAGTACTCTAACTATTCTTGCCTATCTGTCATCTGCCATTCTATCTTTATCACTGGGAGGAATGACCGGTATTCAATAGTTCATTTACGTCTGCAGAAGAATAAGCCAGATTTTGGAACTTACAGAATAAAAATCTTTGAGACTACTGCCAGAGTCAAGATTCGAAAAATGCTACCTAAAGATGACTAACTGTTCATTCTGCTGGAGTTTCAAAACTCCTAAATCAGAAGATGAAGCTGCTCCAAAAATAGCGATTTAAAATGTCAACTTCTCCCTTAAATCAGGTGAGATAATGGTTGTTATTGGATATGTAGGAAGTGGCAAAACAACACTACTTAGATCTATTCTTAATGAGACTAAACTCATTAAAGGAGATATGGAAATTAAAGGCCGCATTGCTTATGTTGAATAAGAACCCTTCATCTTCCCTGGAACAGTTAAGGAAAACATTCTCTTTGGAAAAGACTATGACAAAGAAAAATTTGACAATGTCATCAGACTTTGCGAGCTCGAAACTGACTTCAAGCAAATGGGAAAACAAGAAAACACGATGATGGGGGATAGTGGCTGCAATGTAAGTGGAGGACAAAAGGCTAGAATTTCACTTGCCAGAGCTCTCTATGAAGATGCTGACATCTATCTATTAGATAATCCCATCAGCGCTCTTGATTCTCAGATTTCTCAAAAAATAGTCGAGAATGTAATCAAGGGCTACCTAAAGAATAAATGTGTCGTACTAGTGACCTTCCAGCCTAAGATAGTACCCAATATTGACAAGCTTTTAGTCTTAGACTAAGGTCATCAGATCAGAGTAGGAACTCCTGAAGAAATCTACGCTGAATATGGTTATTTAAGTGACATCGTGACCAATGAAGCATCTGAGATTAATACTGACATTCAATGCGCTCCAGAGGAAGCAGATGAATATGAAATCTGTTTGACTGAAAAAGGAGATGACGATTCAGTTAAAGTTGGAAAGGAAACTATCATCACCTAAAAAGAAGAAACAAGAGCTGTTACTGGAAGTGTTCTATATTCTGCTTATATGATATTCTCAAAGTACTCTTGGGGGCCAATTGGACTTTTACTCTATCTCATATTCTCAGCCATTCCTCCTCTACTCTTGATTCTGTCTATTTACTACTTAGGATTCTGGGCTTCTTTCCCTTACTATTACTACTATGACTTCTATGCTAACAGGTTCATGATGAGTGTTGGTTTCGCTGTACTTTTTACCATAATTAGAAACGTTTACTCATATTATCTAATTCTTTCAGGGTCTAATAACCTTCACAGTATAATGTGCGAGAGGGTACTTAGAGGAACTATTTCATTCTTTGATCATAATCCAGTTGGCAAAGTTGTCACCAGATTCGCAAAGGATTAATTCCTAGTTGACCAGAAACTTAACTTCTTCGTTTTAGTATTCTCAGAAGCAATTTTCGCTGCTCTTGGATCACTGTTATACGCAGTTATAATCACTCCATATGCAGCTATACCTGTATTCTTCTTGACCTTCGTCAGTTTGTATATCTTCAGAAAGTGCTCAGGCGCTTTAGCTATTTTGTAATCCTACGAGTCAAACGCAAGAGACCCACTCCAGCAAAACATTTTGACAATGCTTGGTGGCATTATAACCTGTCGTGCATATGACAATACCAAGTATTTCAAGAATTCCTTTGATAAATAACTTACCAAGAGTGTGAATGCCTCGTTCTCCTATGTGAGTATTATAAGATGGTAAGGACTTAGAGTTCAGCTAGTTGGAGGAAGTTTCACTTTGACTGTAGCGTGGTTGGCTGTTCTTCTTAAGGAGCAAGTTAATTCTTCATTATTGAGTGTATTGATGGTATTTGTGATGGATATAGCAGCTTACATTCTTGTCGCCATATTATTCTACTCTGAATTCCTTTACTGTATGCCATCTGTCGAGAGGATGCTTTAACTCACTGAGATCAAGCAAGAAGATGCCCTCGTGCTTCCAAGTGATAAAAATCTTGGACAGTGGCCATCTTAAGGACAAATTAAATACAATAGTGTGACAATGAAATATAGAGAGGAACTTGAACCAGCAGTAAATGAGGTTTCATTCGAGATTGAGCCAGGCATGAAAGTGGGAGTAGTTGGTAGAACTGGTGCTGGCAAAAGTTCAATTCTACAAACGCTCTTCAGACTCAATGATCTCCATGAAGGCTCTATTGAGATAGATGGAGTCAATATCAAAGAAGTAGGACTTCACACTTTAAGACAAAGCATTGGTTACATTCCTTAGCAAGCTTTCTTATTCTCAGGAACTGTCAGTGAGAATCTTGACCCATTCGACTAAAAATCTGATGAAGAGATGATCTCAGTCTTGAAGAAATGTCAACTCTGGGACTATGTTTAATCCTTAGACTAGGATCTTGAGCACTATATTTGGGACCCTAACCTTACTTTTTCTCAAGGAGGAAAGTAACTGATGTGCTTGGCCAGAGAACTCTTGAAAGATTGTAAGATTATCGTTATGGATGAGGCAACAGCAAGCATTGATTATTACACTGACTAACTTATTTAAAAAACATTGAGAGAATACTGCAAGTCTTAAACGATGATTACTATCGCTCATAGAATATCCACAGTAATTGACGCCGACAAGATACTCGTGATGGAGAAAGGAAAGGTCGCTGAGTATGACCATCCATTCAAACTTATGACCTAAAAAGATACTGACACAGAGATTACTTCTGAAGGTAACTTTGCCAAGATGGTAAAGGCCTACGGAGAAGAGGAGCAAAGATGGCTTTTTAATGTTGCCAAGAATCATTACTTCAAGGTTTCAGATGTTGCTTTTGACACTCAAACTGAGGGATCACAATTGACATGAACACATTATGCTGAAATCTTTCCCTCTATTGAGTGAAAGTTCGTAAGAGAGTATTAAAAGTGATTTGATTATTTCGATTACTCTATCGAGATTACTTTTAAACTCTGGGGTCATGCCCTACTTTACTTTATTGAGTTATACTTTTCTCTTAATTTAATAAATCCCTAAATAAATTCACAATTAAATTGATAATAAGATTCTTAACTCTGAAAGCAAACATTAAAATTATCGTGTTTAATAGTAAATATTGGGAATATCTTTTTATCATAGGTGCGAGGACAGATCAGAATGTTGCTATTTTTAGATTTCTAATTGGGATAGCTGAGTAAGATATATAAATAGACTCTAGAAGAGTGATAAAATTAAGGACAGTGTATTATTAGTTTTTTAAGCAGTTAATAAATACATAGATAGATATTACGATTAAGTGCTTCAAAGTCATACCCTTACCAATTCATTAAATGGTTTTAATCATTACTATTCGATAGTTTCTCTTGAAAGAAGTGGCAAATGATACTCCATAGCTTCAATAAACTCATCAATCAAGTTCTTGTTGACATTAAGAAGCACAATTGACTGTAAATGAGTAGGTCCAACTCTCTACAGAAGGTAATAGTCAATAAAGTAGTCAGGCAGACTTGCTCTAGGGAAAGTCACATTCAAATATTTCCTCTTGATTTATTCCTTAGGGAAAAATAATTCCAATTATTGGCAAAGGTAATCTGCAAGTCCCATATCATATTCGATCACTTTTTGTAAGGTCTCAAAACCTTCATGCATCTTAAGAGATTTCATAACGTTTAGAGCTGAGGCAGCTGCGATACCTGATCTAGTTCCAGAGAGAGCTACTTTATCTTGCATCTACACATATTCAATAAAGTTATCGTCTTCAAAAGCCAAGTCTGTAAAATTTCTAGTGCTGAGTGCGACTCCACAGGGTACTTACACTCCAAGGAATTTCCACAAAGATATTGCGATTGTATCAAGGCCACATTCAATGATCTTGTTGCTTTTATCACCTAATTATTAGAGGAAAGGTAGAGTAGGTCCGTACATAGCAGCATCTCCGTGAACTGTATATCTCCAATTCTCATTCTTTACTTCTTCTATTACTTTTCTAACTTCTTAAACGTCATCAAATGCAGCGCCTATTTATAGACCAAGATTCAAACTCACGATAAAGTTCATGTAATCGTGTTCTTTCATTTCAGCAAGTCTTCCTCTTAAAGATTAAGTGTCAATGCTACCATCCTCATTGCTTTCAATGAAGAGAGTCTTCAATTCTAAAGCTTAGCATGCTTTTATTACTGATACGTGAGTATGAGGAGTCTTAGTGCAAATAACGATTGGAGAGTATAATCTCTTCAGTTGCTTCTTAGTTTCATATATTTCCTTATAGTCTTTAGAGCCTAAATCGTTTGACTCGAGTAAAGCAAGTCTTTCTTTAAGCTCACTTATCTTTGGTCTTGATTTCATGAGTAAATAAAGCTTGGACCACCATATTGATGCTAAATTAGATTCTGATCCACAACTTGTCATGTAGCCAGATATATCCTCTATACCCAATAATCTTCCGAATATTTCAATTACTTCTCTTTCATGAGGGTTTCTCCATGCCACCTTAGGGTCTGATGGATCTCCGTAACAAAAATTGAAGTTATCGGAAAGAGTTCCTGGGATAATGCCGATGCTTGTGCTATCAATAATCTTGTGATTTAGAGAGCCATCTAAGTTTTAATGATAGAAGCAAGTATCCAGTCTATCTAAGCTTGAATTTTTATTGTACAGCATTGTTACTAGTGAGTTACAATAGCTAAGCTTCTTAATATGGCCTGCCAGCAGCCACAGTCTTCTTCCTTCAATCTCGTCAATGTTCATTTTGAGCGTTTAGTTCTAAATTTAGATGGTATAAATTGTTTATAAATAGTCTTAATTATGTAGTAATTACAAAGCATTAATAAATATCCATCATTTACTTTATCATTCCATAATACAATCTTGTTTTATTTCAATTAAAACATCTAAATTAAGCAGCATCATCTCAAATTCTGATCATGGGGTTTTGGGGTTTTGGGGTTTTGGGG